AAAGCTAATCAGTTGCAATCGCAGAGGTGGACCAGCCGAGGGCGTTTCTCGTTCGCTGTAGCATAGGGGGTACACGCGGTAATACGCCTCTATCGGACCCGCACGCGAACCGACATCTTGGGGAGGCTGAGGTTCCAAGCGCGACTCATCGTCTGTCGACTAGGACGCATCTCACACACCACGCGCACTCCACTTTACGAACACTCATACACACAAAACAACATATATACGAAACGACACAATACCAACAACGCGACAACGCTCCTAGCCCCTCGGTAGCCAACCCATAACTTTCCAATGCGGAAATCGGATAAGCGTCGCGCGCTGAACTTAGTATAAAACCGCGCGGACGCAGGGCATATTCATATCAACTTGCAATGCAGGCGTACACAATCAGTCGCAACGATGGCGTACTATGTAGTGCCCATAATCAAGCGGTCCCTCGTGGATTCGAGTACCGCTTACGACACTCAAGTGTCAGACTTGAAGTGTCGTGAGGGCCTAGTCCTTCACGACATTGCACGGTTGAAGGAATAGTCGTGCAGCCACCAAGGCACCTCGGGCTCTTGACCTGAGTGTCACGGTAGGCAAATCAAATAGGCTCTTCGCGAGGGAAAACCCCTCCCCTGCAGAGCCTAGGGTTTGGGATGTCCTGTACAAGGACCTCGAATCCCGGCCTAGGACCAAACGTCCGACTAAGAAAATCATCAAAAAGCAAGAGACAAGAATAAAAGGAGAGACTTCCTCTAAGCCCCTCAGTCTCAGCTTCTGAATGGGGCTCTAATGTGGGGGCTCTTCAACCCATGCAAACATTCATCCCAAGTATACTCATGTATACATATATAAGAGTTAAATATGTGACGATAATTTTTCATGGTCTCACTGGGGTCTCTCACGATAATACGTATATGTGTGATTGCAGGCAACCAAATCCAGAATCTGATTCACAGCACATACCTGTCATCACATCAACAAACCAAATCAACAGTCCACACACTACACGGAGTCAACCCCAACCACCTTCGACATTCATACCCCTTGCTTTAGCCATGCAAGCCCCAAAACCTCCTATCCAACCAACCTTAATTAAATACTCAGCACCTTTGTCAAATGACCATTCAATAAAAGTCCAGGTGAAACCTTAATAAAACAACGAAATCACCAGGGCTAAAGCCTTTTAGGTTGAGTGTAGAGGGAGAGTTGAAATTGAGTCGTAGACCGACGAATC